GAGGGTTTGGGTTTATCAAGCCCAGCCGTTGTCAAAAGCCTTGGGCTGGTACTACTCACTCTGTAGTTAGGTGTTGAGTGGCAGGTTGCAGGTGGCAGGGCAGTTAAGTTAGGTAGAGGTGGTAGGTTAGGTAGGTTGGGATGGAGGTCAAAGGTGAGAAATGTCGTCAGTGATCCAATAAATTCCTAGAGTTGGTTGGTACCTCAGGGAATCGCATCGACACTTGGTGGAGGAGGGGGTAAAATTGGCGGGGTTTTTATCGGGCGTTTTCCAAGGATTCAATGCGCGAGCAGAAGCACAGCAGAGCACAGCGCAGTAACACTGAGCTACCTAATAACTCTGGCGACTTTAGCGGTAAGCTAAAAGACCAAGGAAATTGATAGATTCAAAGATACAGGTAGGTCCTTTTTAGGAGACACAAGGAGGAGACCAGCGCAAAAAAGAATTTGACAAACACGAAAAAAGAGAGGGTCGAAAGACAAAGCACAGCCCAATACCTTTCCCTAGGTACCTAGTGCTGGGTGATGAATGCCCAAGGCAAGGCCTCAGGGTACGGATAACACCTAGGCACAGGCCAGGCAGAAGCAGACCAAGACCAAGACCACCACGAGGAGCTAAGACCACCGCCCGCTCTGCTGTTGGTGGGGGAGATCCAGGGTTTGGCTGGCGGGGAGCTTCCAATTTGTAGCGGCGTAGGTGTAGCTCTCTGTCCGGTTAATAAGTAAGTCGAGTTGGGTTGGGTTGTGTTTATGGTGGGTGACGACGTGCACTGTTTGCAGCAGAATCGTTCAACAGATCCTTGTTTGTTCAGTTCTTCAGGGAAAGACACAATATGATCTACTGGGTATACGTAGTAGTATATCCTTTTGTCAAGAGGTAACTTCGGTAGGACTAGAATGATGATATGATAACGTGGACAAAGAGGCTGAGCTCCAATGAGACAACCATACCTGAGACTAAGAGAGAGTCTCCAAAGTTACTTGAAAGGAATGGATGGATGTCTGTTTGGCACTTTTGTATATCATATTCACAAGCATGTGTCCTACTCGAATTGCGTTTCAGGACCCATCACCAGATAGTTTCGCATGAATATGGAAACTTGGTTTGATGCTTGTGAAACCATTCTCTGAAACGACAAACTCTTGAGCCTTTCTTATCATGCATAAGGTAAGGTAAGTAATAATACCACAAAGTTCCAAACCCGTCCGTCAACAACAATCAGGAGATAACAAACTCTAATATGTGCATTTCCCTTATTCCCACCGTGTAGCTGCAGTTACACTGGAAAAGCATCTGCATCTGCTGTAAGTCACCCTTCATAGTCCTACGAGTCCTAGACTACCTTAGAGCCCCACCATCAAATCACCTCTGTCCTCCGATTAAAACCGCATATCGGAAAGCGGTCAATGTCTGCAACGTCGAGACCCTTAACAATTAGTTGCCGTTAATCTCAGTGTCTGGCAAATCATGTTGCTGATGTGCACCTTCAAGCTCAAATTAATGGTCAGGGTCACCCTTGAGGGTGGAATGACAAGGGGTCTGTCTAGGGGCCGTTAAAGGTTGAAGTGTCATGATGAACTTGTTCTTGGCGGACACAGTTCATGTTATGATGATATATCAACAAGTCAGCAAACAGTCTCGGATTTCACGCATATTTATATCAAAATATGACATGTTGGAAATATTAACTTCATTAAGCTCCGAAGGTTTAGTCCCACTCCATCTTTCTTCGGTATTGCCTTTCTGGCTACCAGCCCTACCGGTCATGCAAAACACCAACATCCGATTGGCTCGCCAACGGCGTGAAGCATCGTGAATCAACATCACGCAACAAACTCTATAACGAGAAATCGTACGTACAATATTCTTCCTCGACGAGAATGTACAGTTTTATTATAGTAGTATACAATGATAAGCTTTATATCTATGTTACATCTTGTCATGATCTTCGAACCAAAAGCAGCGCAATACTTCCTGTAAACACAGCGCCTGCTAATGCGCCCTCCAGTACCAATAATGAAACGTCCCGCATGCGAAGATCTATCCGTCGCTCGCTGTACATGTCTTGTGATTTGGCTTTCCACCATTCTGGATCCATAAGAGCTTCTTGCCACGTCCGCGTGGGCAGAGGTTCTGAGAAAGGCACTTCAGCCACTGATTCAAAGGCGGCAATTGGTTCCTGACTGGATTTTGTTTCCTCCACCATGAGGCTCTCACCCGGCAACACGTTCTCTGACGCCACGGCTTCAGCAATTGCCTCAGCCTCAGCCTCTGGGGTTTCCTCAACCGTTGACAGGGTCTTTTGGTTCTCGATGGCCAGCTTGACCTGTTCAAGCTCACCGCGAACCTCCTCCAGAACAGCCTTCTCCTCAGCCACAACGCCCCTGACCAGTCTCCTTCTCTTCCAGGGCTCTGCCACGAATTGTAGAATAACAAACAAAAGGAAGTTCATGCCCATCAGGCCCCAGGTACCCCAGGTACTCGCCCGTCGGATACGATCACTCCAAATTTGTTCTTCGTGGTAACGTTTCAGGATTCCGGCATTTAGTTGCTGGCTAAGGCGCTGCTCTTCCATCTCAGCCTCCGTTAGGGCCTCTTGGGACGATGCGACCTTGCCCTCCAAAGTATGATCGGCTCGGTATAACTCAGTAAAGCGCTCAAGATCGATAGGGGACCAGCTATCCTTCCGCGCCAATAGTGTTGTGACCTCACGTTGTGTCGTCGCACGACTGGCGTTCGATGTCTTGTATTCCTGACGAGCCTCGCGGACTCGCTCATGGGCTGCTGCAAGGTCTGCTTCTAGCTTGGCATTTTGATGCTTGATGGCCTCGATGTCTGTGTATCCGGTAATATCGTTCAGCGTTTGTGAGGCATTCATTGCTCGGGATTGCAGTCTATCCATAGCACCGCTAAACCTCTCCTTCAATTCATTCATATGGTTCAGGGTAAGGTGTCGCAGGTTTTGAAGACCTGATGGTGCTTGCGATTGAGAGGTTTCATCGCTAGGCTTTGTATCTGTCTCGGCCTTGGGTGGCTCGGGTTCTGGGTCTTTAGGGGCAGCGCTTTCGGAGGTGGCATTGGTAGATTTGACATCTTCTAACTTGGGTATATCGGCAGGCGGTTGAAGCTCTTTGAAAACGTTTGGCCGAGGTTTAAGTATAGATTCAAGCTCATCCTCGACATCTTTATTCGTCCTCGAACTCTTCTCGGAATCTCTAGGTGGCCGCTCCGTCGAATAGAGTCTTGCTCGGAGACCAATGGCTTGAAAATTGCATCGCACACATATTGTTGAGCTCTGCACTATCGAGGGGCCCCAGCAAGACCTCCCGGGCCTCGCGGACCGATCAAGCCCAAATCGCGCATGGTTCCAGACAAGCCGAACCGCAGGACGAGCAAGCGGCTGCATTGCGACCAAAGGAAGCGTGTATCGCAGCGGCGACGTCGAGGGTGAACGATTGGACTTGAAGCTCGGCAACAATTGTTGAGATGATGGGATGAACGCATGGGCCGAGCCGATAAAGCTACAGCCGGCTCCGTAGCCGGGGTATTTTCTGCCACCGGAGCAAGGCCGAATATAGTCACCGCCCTGCTCACCTTGGCCAGGGTCCTTCACCGGGAGCGCTATTGAGTGCGACTCAGGCCAGTCAGGGCCCTTAGGGGCTTTATTCCAGTGCAATTGCAGGGAGAAGAGGGTGTTGAGGGGCACTATTCAATGTCCTGCAGTTCCTGAGAGTCATGACAATGACGACAGTCGAACCTTGGCCAAGGCGGAACAACTGATAACGAAATATGCGGTGTTTTCTGTTATGTACAGTACATGATTTATATTGCTACTCATTTTACTAGTAAGGATCCTTCAGTATCAACCTCCAATCAGCTCAGCCAGTTTATAGCAGGTGTTTCTAATTTCCTGTCGATCACTATTGTCGCGATTATTTGTTTGTCTCTCATGAAAACTTGTGCCCCTCCCCCGCCATTTTCTTTGCTCGGTCATATCTTCTCTCAACAACATCGTCACTTGTAGACTACAGTTCTAGAGACATCCAATTCACTCACTCTTTTCATTGAACTCGAATAGACTTCAATAAGGATCTCACTGAATCATAAAAACACGCAATAATACACTGCAGACCGTCATCATGGCTTCCTCCGATACCCCAGCTCTCAAGAACGATCCCAAGTTCATCTTCTTTACCGACTTTGACGGAACAGTCACCACCGCCGATTCTAATGACTACATGACCGACAACCTTGGTTTCGGTGTTGAGCGCCGTCGCCAGCTTAACAAGGACGTTCTTTATGGAAACATGCATTTCCGTGACAGCTTCGTTGAGATGCTGGACAGCGTCAAGACTCCTTTTGATGAGTGTATCCAGATTCTCCTCAAGAACATTAAGCTCGACCCTGGCTTCAAGGAGTTCTATGACTGGGCTCAGGAGAACAATATTCCCATTGTCATTCTCAGTGGCGGCATGACCCCTGTCATTCGAGCTCTTCTAGACACTCTTCTGGGTCCTGGTTGGGATATTCAGATTGTCAGCAACGATGTCAAGGCACGAGAGGGCAAGACTCTTAAGGATGAGGGAGGCTGGCAAATTGAGTTCCATGATGACAGGTAAACCTGAATTATGCGTTGATGTGGTGAGGAAATGCTGACTTTTCTAGTATTCATGGTCATGACAAGTCTATCGAGATCCGAAAGTACTCTTCGCTTCCTAACCGACCTACCATGTTCTATGCTGGCGATGGTGTCTCTGATCTCTCAGCCGCTAAGGAGACCGATCTTCTGTTTGCCAAGGCCGACAAGGGTGAGTAAATATCGATTCACAGTATTGTTCGCAATTAACAACACTTCATAGACCTTGTTACCTGGTGTGAGAACGAGAACGTTCCCTTCGTCACATTCCGTGACTGGTCTAGCATCACTCAGACTGTCAAGGACATTGCGGCTGGTACCGTCTCTGTCAAGGATGCTGCCCGTGGCCGTGTCTAATCTGGTATGAATTAATGACATGAAAATGGAGGATAGGAAATGGTATACTTGGTCATTTAAAATATAAAGGATAGACTAGGTGGGAGCCATCTACGGAGATCACATAGATTCATTATAGATTTGTGAATAGACTTGGTCAGCCTGGATCGAATCGATTTCCTATATAATTTTCGACCTTGATGTCACTTCATCTGTTCATACATTATTCAATTCCCTATTCCCTCCCTCTTTTGATACTGCCATATCACTCTGTTCTCTTTTCCTCAGCTGGAATAAAATACCAGCACAGCAACATGACAGCAAACAAGAAAATCACTATCGGATGAAGGACAAAGGTGCCAAACGCCTGGGCCAGAAGACCCGTGACGAAGGGCGCAATAGCTCCGCCTGCGCTATCGCAAGCATTAATCATGCCAATACCGGTCAAAGCCTCCCGTCTAGTCATGCTTCGAAGGAAAACAGCTGAAGCGCATGGGTAGATAGGACCAAGGAGAAGACCGACGACAGATACGGCGATAGTGTTACCCACAATGTTAGGAATGAGCCAGACGAGAAGCTGAAAAGCAACGGCTCCTATTATGAGACCATACACAAGTGTCTTCTCGCCGATTCGCTGCGCAGGAGCAGAAAGGAGGAATCGACCGATAGTGATACCGGCCCAGAAACCTGCTGTTGCATAACCAACTGAAGAAGGGTCACCATCGCGGTCGTTGATGAGGAAAGAAATGACCCAGCCAGAGATAGAGACCTCGGCTCCCTGGTAGGCAAAGATAAAGAGTGAGCCAAGAAACACAATTCGCAGATTCATAGCAAGAAAGATGCTGTTCGACATGGAGTCTCCAACTCGAGCTGTCTCTCTCTCTTGCGCCGCAGGACTCAACTCTTGCTCGTATCTCCAGAACGACCATATTCCTAATGCGACAGTTAAAGCTCCGAGCACACAGGTTATTATATAGTATCTATTCCATAGGGTGTTTGCAGCGGTAACGAGCGCGGTTGCTACGACAGGGCCGATAGTTGCCCCTATTCCGTAAGTCCCATGCTGTACACCCAGCATGAACGTTCCGTTCTGCAGACCACCACAGAAGAGATTTCCGATGGCCACATTTATCGAGATACTGAAGCCGATAAAGAGGAATGATATAACAACAACGATGAAAGGGGCCCCGCAGATGATGGGGATGTATGCCAGAGTGACAAGGGCTTGGCCAAAGCCAAGAAGTTTGGCTCGACCGAGTTTGGCTCTAAGCATATCGATGAATACGGCGGCGGCAATGAACCCAACGGCTTTACCCACGAATATAAGAGATACAGTGGCATAGCCAATGCCATAGTACCTATAAATATTAGCTCATGTCCTTGAGGGGAAAGATTATCAACATACTTCTCCATATAGGGGATCAAAGCACCAGTAGCACCATCGCTTAGAGCATTATTTATCTGGGATAGACAGGTCGAGAGGAGTCTGAAGCGGTTCATGAAAGGGTCCCAGATAGTTGGTGCAACTTCGACAGTCTCTGTATTCGAATCTGGACGATCCGGTTGACTCATTTCTAAGTCATCGGCAGGTTCGGAAGATGTATTTTCTGGTTTTGGATCATCTCGGACTGGTAGTATCTCGAGGCCAATAGATTCTCCGTGGCCTGAACCAATATGGGTTCTCGAGGTAGTTGTTGGCAGGGCTGTCAATGGACGAGATATATGTTGCTTTGCCGGAGTTGTAGGTACTGGCTGAACTACTGAGAGACCTGAAAGAATCGATGACTCCATGGTGTATGAGCACTGGGTCACCAAGAACTAATGACTAGATATATAGTAATAGATCTTCAGGAGAATATTCGATGTCATTGTGTAAGAGAGAAGTGTGCTTGAACCAGGCTGTCTATGGCGACAAGTATGTAGTCTTAGTTAATCGATTCAGTATCAAATTATCATGAATCTCTGCAAGGTCAACTTGAGTCACCCGGCCAGTGAGATCTTGATATCCCCACGGGACATCCTAGCGAGTGGAATGCCTCTATTTGGTAGTTTTTGGAACCCTGCCATGCCAGGAGGGACAGCCAAGAGGGTAATCAAGCCGAGTCCACTTATACAATACTATACTCTGTGATTTCTTAAGCACGGACTAGTACTGAATTGCACCGAATAATTTATCCAGGTGTCACGGGGAGTATACGATAGCGTACTTGTATGATCATGTTGTAACTCAAGGTATTCTCTGAATAAAGATGAGACATCGGTAGACGTAGTTCTCAAGCAGTATACATAAGCTTTCATATTGGGGCACTCACAACATGGATATCATATTGACTGCTATGTTACTGGTCACTCAACTTCATGATAATGAGGTTGGCTCTAATACCACTTTTGGTAACACCCCCAGCGTCCCACCACTAGCAGCCGAGCAGTATCCTACTTAATGTGCAATCACGATATGAGTGTATCGCCCGATATGGTAATTTCACGAGATCATGGTGGGAACAAACGAGGTGAGGCAAGCTTGGGACTATCTTGACCCCACGTGACGAAAATAAACAAGTCATCAAGCCCGAAATTATGAGGACTCTTAGCCATGTTGATTTTGTCATCTTGTTCTAATCTTTTCAGTTTTCTTACTCCTCGAGGATAGCTAGGACCGGACGATCCGAATCGAGTAAGTCCGCTCTCACTTAAAAATGATTATGGATAGAGTAATACATAGAGCTATTCTGTCTATCAAGGTATATCGCTCTATCGGTATCTGCCCCTCCAAACACCCCCTCCATATTCTTCATGTCTAGAAAATTCCAAGACAGACTTTTATATAATAGCAATCGACATAAAACTTCACGATGGGACGTCCGAAGCGAAACGTTCTGGCGGCCGCAGAGGCTGCCCTGACACCCCCCGACACTCTCGAGCCCAACCAATCTCTCGTCCGCGTTGTCAAGCCTGAAGGAAATAACCTGTACACCTGTGAGCTTCCAAACGGCAAAACCCTTGTGCTGGAACTGGCCCAGCGATTCCGAAACACCATTTGGATCAAGCGTGGCGGGTTTGTCTTGGCTGAACGATACGAAGATGGCAAGGAGGATACTCGAGCAGAGGGAGAAATCGTCAACGTTGTCCGTGATGAGAAGGCCTGGCGTAAACAGTCTTATTGGTTAGTTCTGTGGTATCTATTCGTCTGAAATGAACTAGGCTAATCAAGTCTATCGCAGGCCCAAAGAATTCGTCAAAAACACATACGAAATGAGTGACTCCGAGGACGAATCCAATGTCGGGAAAATGCCCCCCAGTGACTCCGAAGATGAGTGAAAAGGAAAATGCACTTCTAGATCCAGATCTATTTGTTCTTATCATCAACATTCCCGACTCTGGCAGCGGGAGCAGGAACGGCAAGTCTGGCTGTTCCCAGATACACCAACACAACTGTCGCCAGCATTGTGTTGACAGCGATGGTTGAGCTGAGGTCGGTGCTTGGATACACGTTCCAAGCCCATTCCTGCGCGGCCCAGATAATTGTCACGATGACGGGGTCTTCGGTGGCTCGCCAGAGGAGATAGGGAGTCGCCCAGGCGAGATAGGCATAGAATTGGTAGTGCAGTGACCGAGCGAACAGCAGACCAATGAGGTTGGCGGTGAGCATGGTAGTCATGACGTACTCAGGGGTGACGTAGTGAGAGATACGAGGCTGTTCCTGCATGGTAAATGGGGACTTGAGTCTCAAAAATGAGGGAATCAGGTCGTAGAGCGATCGTCCAGTCGGTTGGATCCATCTCTTGGAGATGAAGATAAGGAGCACCAGAGCGTGGCAGGCCAGAAGAGAGATAGCAAAATACTTGCTGAGGAAAACTTCCTCGCCCAACATGCGCCAATTGACCGTCCACTTGAATTGGAACTGTCGTGACAGCTCAAAGGCCCGAGCCGTATACCCACGAGGGTTCTTGGTGATAAACGGAATTCCAATGGCGAACTGAACCTGTGCCATGAGCCATGCGAGACGAAGGCTAGGCCATAATCCTCTACCTAGGAAAAGGATAACGCCAATGGCAGGTAAAGGCAGCAGTAATGACATTTTGATTCCAAGCCCCCAGGAATACACCAGACTTCCAACGGTCCATTGTCGGCGTTGGAAAAGGAAGATAGTGAGCCATAGGAAGAAAACGGCGAAGCAGTCGTTGAAGCATCGTAGGACGAAGAGGCTATGCAGTCGTTTAGATGCGATCAGGAAGATGAACATGTACGGAGGGACCTAGAATTATCAGCAAACTGACTCAACTACTTGGGGATATTACTAACTTTGGCTTTCCAATAGCAGAGCATCACCAATGCCAACGTAGCCATATACAACACGGCAAATATTTGTTGCGCCAGAAGAATGTTCGTTCCCTTGTCCGTGATATAGTAAAGTCCCGTGTAAGTGTAGACATGCGCCGCTGGATATACCAAGGGTCCAGTATCGCCCACCATCTTGGTATAGTCTCTCTCGCCCGATACAAACTGCGAAATCTGCTGCATGTACGCAACCCAGTCGATTTCGGTATCTGTTCCACAAGATTAGTCTCATCATGAGGCTTTGGGAACTGGACGCCACGCACATGGGATCTTCCATATGATCAAGCCACAACCAAGCGCGTCGACCAGCCAGAGCGCGACGGGGATGAGCTTGGAGAGTGCATGGCGGCCATTGAGGACGTTACTTAGGAAGCGAACGCCCTGGCTCAGGGAGCCAGATGCAGATTCTGGCATTTTGATAATGGAGAATGCGCTGGCTTGTGAAAGGAGGAAAGAAAAGCTTCATCCAGTTAAAACAGGGGTTCAAGAGCTTGGAGAGAGCTACGTGTGGGAAATGCGGGGCCCCGCGATATGCATATTCTCATATGCTTCACATCAACTTCAATTCATATTAAGCTGAGGACAATCATAAGAATGAAAGAATCAAATATTCATTGATTAATGTCAATTTATAAACGTGGTCAATCTACAGCTTAGACTTGGCAGCTTTTCCAACCTTGTCCACAATCTCAACTACACCCTCAGCACAACCATATGAGCCTTGATATCCCCAGCCAGAGTGGCCATAGTTGTGCACGATCCACGTCTCATTGTCCAACTTCTCCTCCTCAAGTCGAAGTCCATCTCGTCTCCAAGGGCGCAGTCCCACAGCGTGTCGAATCACACTCAGTCCCTTAACGCCCTTACCACCAGCGACCTCAGGACGTGCTTCAACGATGCGTTGCATGATACGTTGGGCGATGTTGGGGTCTGGCTGAGACTCCCAGTTGCCGATATCGTAAGTTCCACCCAAGATTGTGCCACCACCAGCTGCTCGCTGCATGAGATACATGACATCGGCACCGCCATCCTCAACTCCAGATGTGATAAGCATTGGTGTGCTCTCGTTGCGCACCAGCACAATCTGTCCGCGTGCAGGCGCCATAGTCTCATCCTTGACACCACCCAGCTTCAAGGATCCTAGGCCTGTGGCGTTGACGATGATGTTGGGAACATTGCCCGTGTGGCTCAGTTTCTTGGCCTCGCTGATATCGGTCAGGACGCCTCTCTTGAAAACCACGCCGTTTTTCAGACATTGACCGACAAGCCAGGGAAGGTAGATAGCGGTGTTGATGCAGACAGATGTGAATTCGCAGCCTGAGTCGTAACCACGAGTGACTTCATCAGGGTTCTGTTCTCGGAAATCCTCAAAGATCTCCTTATACCAGGGCTCCTCCATGAAGAGTGCATCGGGAAATGTTTGGTTCTTTGCTGCTTCTGCGTCCTTCTTTCGTCTTTGAATGTGGCACTCTGCTAGATATTAGCCTGTCATTTTTCATGAGAGAAAATATGGTGACGCACTTTGGAAGTGAATGCCTGCTTCGGGGACTTGTTCGCACAGTTTCTTGAACTCTACCCAAGTTCGACGTTCCCATCTGCTGCTCTCTCGTGTGGCCATACTGGAAATCGTGAGTAGGATGATACAAAATGGACCGGGTCACATACGGGCAGACGTTGGCACCAGCAAATGGCGAGGCATATTCAATATCATAGTCACCGGGCATATGCTTGCCCACAACAGTGATCTTGTTCCCCTTGTTCTTGGAAAGAAGATAGGCGGACGTCAAGCCAGAAACACCAGCACTTTCACAGGATCAGCTTCGTTCAGAATAGATAACCTCTCCATCGAGACTCACCCAACGACGACGATTGTGTTTGCCATTTTGATATGTCACGTTTTGCTTTATAATTGGGTATTTAGTATAAATCTTCTCGAAATGGAAAAGCACTTGATTGAACTCAAGACTGACTAGACTACCTTAACAGAGTAGAGGTTGTCACATTAACTTATACGCCCTCTCATCGGTTCCCAGTTGAAGCCCCGATCTCTAAGCCGGGGGATTGACTCTTGTGATTGGCTTATCAACGCGGGGCCGCCGAAACCGGGATCGGCTCTATCATGATAGTAGTGTAAGAAGCAACGTTCAAGATAAGCCTGTCACAATGCAATGGCTCGAAATTGCATATTCATCAGCCAATCGATTTGTTTTGGAAGCTATTGCCGACCTGTCAAACGCTTCTTGGGCGTGAATGACACTCGCCGAATGGTCATATGCAATACGACGGCCTTCCACCTCCGTGACAGCCCATACTGGAAATAGAAGGCCGCGAGAGAACTTGACTAAGTAGCCTATGGCATTTGAACCATTTCTAGCCGAAATCATAGAGGTGTGGTGTAACTGCCAATCAGTATAGACACAAGAACTCAGACAGCTCTCCAGAGTGATATAGGATAAGATATCATAAACAGACATCAATGACCCATTGTACAAGTCTAACTATGCTAATACTACACAGCTGTTTTTACTTTCTTCGGTAATATAAACAGATTGAGTCTATTGCCATGACCTTCCTTCACAGTCCAACCAAGTGATATGAGATGTTACAATATTTACACAATTTATGCAGCATGCTTCGCCAGCATCGACTGGAGGGCTTCAGGGTTAGCACCGACCAACTGATCAACCTTGCTTCCATTCTTGAAGACAAAGAAAGTTGGCATAGCGCGGACGCCGAGCTCAGCGGTCAGGTCCGGGAGCTCATCGACATCAAACTTGACGAATTGGATGCTGTCTGACAGAGCCTTCTCTTCCGAGAGCCTGAGTTTCTATTGTTAGTTGCCCATTTGAAGTGATAATGTATATTTGGAGCCACTTACTTATTGAGGATGGGAGAGATGGCCTTGCAAGGACCGCACCATGTAGCGAAGCAGTCAATAAGAACAGCCTTGTCGGTTGTAGAAACAAGGTCCTTAAACTCTTTTGTTCTATCAAATCAAGCTAGTAAAACTATGGCCATAGCCTTTATAATTGCGCTTAAACTCACGTCTTGATATCCTGCACAGCAAATCGAGCAGCCGTGCTATGGAATGGCCGAGCGGTGAAAGTCACAGCGCCAAGTCGAACAGCCTGGGCGACAGGCCGCATAAGACGGAAGGGAGAAGACATTGTGCAAGTGTTATAAAATGTGTCGTTTATATGAGTCGTAAACTTGGTTTAGTATGAGAGGTCTGGGTTTCTAATTGTTAGCTCTGATGGCTCTTCATTGGGTGGAGTATGATGACTTGATCATTTGGCCAATCATATTCTGATGACACAAAGTTCATGACTGGTCTTGGACGTTTCATGATAGAAACACAAAAGTTTCATGATAATGTTTTAGGGCCGATATCACGCTTTGACGATGTATAATATGTTGATAGAGGGTGACTGCGTATATGCCATTGACCTGATGGAATCATAACAAAACATGAAACAACTACCTCAGCTCTAAAGGCTCTCAAGAGCCATGTTCAACGATGCCTCATTCTAATCAAGTTACAGATTAAACAACAAACAAATAATCTACATGCTTTACACGGACTTCAATAACTCACACTCTCTTATCCAGTCTTCACCTACTTGAACCACGACCATATCATCTCATACTTGTGGATATGCCACACCCAAATGCACGCATAGCATGCAAGGGGGTGCAATAAAACTTAGGACCTCCAAGGTAGGTGACAAAAAGCTTTAGGTAAACTTAGGTAAGTTTAGTAAAGTTTTAGAGGATCTTAGATTAAGTATTTTTAGTACCTCAGTTTAATGTCAGAAGTCTTCTTACACCCCGAGGGCATGATAATTTCCACATACACAGCAACTACGCTAGTTCCCGAGATCTACGACGATCATCTCATAATTAATTACTGCTTCAACTGCCGAGACCACGGACATAACTTATTTCATGCGCCTACGGCTGTGGATCAGACCTAATCTTAA